CAACCCATGTAATACATAAGGAAAAGAGATACATAATTGGCTTACAATCGCCACTTCACACAATTACATGAATAAAGCATTACATCATCCAGATACAATCAACGTCCGACTACGGAACCAAAATAAAAGAAGACTACCCCAAATGCTACACAGATCCCCGATCGACCCCAACTAGGCTCCACTACTGATCAACTGGAAACGGAACAACATAACGAACACGATCTTCCTCGAGCTCCTCCTTGAGCTCGGTTGCGTCACCTGCACGGTATCATCGGCACCTGCAAGCTGGTTTTGGAAGTATCTGTGAGTCACGGGGACTCAGCAATCTCACACCCGCGAGATCAAGACTATTTAAGCTTATAGGTAGGGTAAAAGGTATGAGGTGGAACTGCAGCAAGCGACTAGCATATTTGGTGGCTAACATACGCAAATGAGAGTGAGAAGAGAAGGCAAAAGCACGGTCGAGAAACTATGATCAAGAAGTGATCCTAGAACAACCTACGTCAAGCATAACTCCAACACCGTGTTCACTTCCCGGACTCCGCCGAGAAGAGACCATCACGGTTACACATGCGGTTGGTGCATTTTAATTAAGTTCAACTTCAGGTTTTCTACAACCGGACATTAACAAATTCTCATCTGCCCATAACCGCGGGCCCGACTTTCGAAAGTTCAATCCCTGCAGGGGTGTCTCAACTTAGCCCATCACAAGCTCTCACGGTCAACGAAGGATATTCCTTCTCCCAAGACAATCCGATCAGACTCGGCATCCCGGTTACAAGACATCCTCGACAATGGTAAAACAAGTCCAGCAAAGCCACCCGAATGTGCCGATAAATCCTGATAGGAGCTGCACATATCTCGTTCTCAGGGCACATTGGATTGTCCAAGGTTCCGGTAAGCCAGCCCAGAGTTGCCCCTGGTGGCCACCGGCAGCTGACAAGTTGGACCAACACTCAGAGGAGCACTGGCCCGGGGGTTTAAATAAAGATGACCCTTGAGTCTGCAGAACCCAAGGGAAAGAAAAGGCTAGGTGGCGAATTGTAAAACCAATGTTGGGCCTTGCTGGAGGAGTTTTATTCAAGGCGAACTGTCAAGGGGTTCCCATTATAACCCAACCGTGTAAGGAACGCAAAATCCGGGAACATAACACCGATATGACGGAAACTAGGGCGGCAAGAGTGGAACAAAACACCAGGCATAAGGTCGAGTCTTCCACCATTTACCAAGTATATAGATGCATTAATATGAATAAGAGATATTGTGATATCCCAACAAAATATCCATGTTCCAACATGGAACAAACTCCAATCTTTACCTGCAACTAACAACGCTATAAGAGGGGCTGAGCAAAGCGGTAACATAGCCAAACAATGATTTGCTAGGACAAGGTGGGTTAGTGGTTTGGCTTAACAATAGGGGAGGCATGATAAGCAAGTGGTAGGTATCGCAGCATAGTCATAGCAAAAAGAGCGAGCAACTAGCAAGCAAAGATAGAAGTGATTTCGAGGGTATGGTCATCTTGCCTGAAATCCCGCGAGGAAGAAGAACGAGTCCATGAAGAAGACAAATGGACGTAGACGAACGGGCCCGCACAAACGCGACGTTATCGAAACCAACCTGAAGAAGCAACACCGAAAAGAAGCACGCAACATAGTAAACAACCATTACATAAGCATGGCATGATGCACAACCAAGTATGATGCATGTCCGATTTAATGAAGCATGGCATGGCAAAGTGTACAAACAAAACTACAAATTAAGTGGAGCTCAATATGCAACGAGTTGCATATTGACGAAACACCACGTCAAATATTCAGTTCCTCTTGTTTAGGTACTCAACAATATTAAATGTTGGTTAACATGGCAAGAGGTGAAGCAAAAGCAAACTACACAATCTAAGCAATTTAAATGGGGCCGGAAACATCAACCAACAATTCCGGTAAAACCCCATATGCATTAGCAATTTAATGCAACAACAATTTTAAACATTTTAAATGTTGTTCTCATGATGCGGATGACATGTGCAAGCTTATGCAATTTTTATTAAAAGTTGACAAGAGCATTATGAAGCATTTGTCACCGCGGTGGAAAGGAAAGGGGTGCCACGATAATGATAATGAAAACGGTGCCACGGCAACATATCGGTCTCCGGTAACTCCTTTGAGATGCCGGTGCAAAAGGAAGTGTGACGGGAGCGTGTCGTGCAAGATGGTGGGGTGATCCCGGTAACCGGGTTCCCACGGGTTAGCGGCAGAAGAGAAGGACCGAGCAAGTGACAACTCGGGCACGGTGCAAACATAGGGTGCAACTCATACATCACACAACATGCATTCGTTCCGCGGGTCATTGTCTCGGCGGTTATACCTTCGAAGCGTGCAAACGTGATGGTTCGGGTTCGTCGAGGGAAGTAGAGGAAGTAGTGGTACTATCGGTCATCGGTGATCAACGGGACGGTAGTGGAAGTAGAGGTACACGATGTCTTGACGAAAATCACGGCGGCGGTAGTTGTGCCCACGTGGTCGTCGAACTTGATGGAACCAATGTCCTCGAGGGTAGTCGTGGGAAGTAGTCGTACTCGCGAACTTGTTGGATCCACGGCGACGGTAGTTGTTCATGGTTCGTAGGCGGACTTGACGGGTCCGAGGGATCCGGCCATCGTGGTACTTGGCACAACACCGTGTAGTCGTACATTTGACGAGGAACTTGACCATCCGGAGGTGTATTTGGCGAACAACGGTCATTGTGGTACTCATAGGTCCCCGAAGTTGTTCTCGTAGGTTTTTGTGTTTCGTTCGGTACTCGTTCGGGCATCCGTGTGGTCTTGCCGGTGGTGTACTTGGTGAAATTCCACGGAGGCGGTCTTGGCAGGCAACGAGCAGCGACACGGTGTACCGACGCAGCAACGCAGGCGGGTGCTCGAGCAGGACTTGGCGCCGGTCGTCGTCCTCGCGTTCTCGCACGACAAAAGCAGGGGACGGAAGGAAAATCACGGGCAGGAGGAAGGCCATGGCAGAGACAGGCTCTGGGTGCTTGGGGTGCCGGCGGTGGCCTCGGCAAGGAGAAGGAAGGACGACGAGGTGGAGGCAAGGTCGCTGGACGAGGTCAGGGTACGGAGCAGGGCGTCGGGTGGCTCGACACGGTGCAGCTCGCGCACGAGGAAAAGCAGAGGGGCCCGACGAGGAAGGGGGCTCGCCGGCTTGGAGGCCCTGGTGGCTGGCGCCATGACGGTTGGGGCCAGCGGCCTATGCCGAGAACAACAAGGAGAAGGCCGGGAGGGGTTGTGCTTGACGGCGGCGGGCGGCGGCCTCTCTGGAGTGGGGAAGGCGACGGTACTGGCATGGCCTCGCCGGAGTTGACCTCTATGCCGGAGCTTGATGGCGGCGGAGGATGGATGCAGCAGCAGCAGGGCGCGGTGGGAGGCGATGGCAGCGCGCCTAGTAGTTGAGGAAGAGGGGAATGGCACGAAAAAGAGCGGTGGGGCGGCAGCCGGCAATAGCTCCGGTGGCCGGCCGGTGTGACGTAGCTGGAGGCGCAGGCGTGCGCTGGGAGGCGATGGGAGAACGAGAGGGAGATGGGTTACGGGCGAGAGGATGGGTCGAGCGCGGTGCCTCCTCTCCTGGCGGCGCGAGGGAGGGATCGAGAGCGAGAGGTGCGCGAGGGATCGGGCTAAGGTAGCGCTAGGCTTAGGAGGATTAGGTCGGCCGAAAGGCCAGCCCAGTTGGGAGGGCGCCGGCTGGGCTAGGGGAGGTTTGGCCGGAAGTGGATGGGCCCTAGAGAGGCCTGGGTCTCTCTTCTCCCTTAAGTCTTTAAAAAAACCTTTTAGAAATCAGAAAACCGCAGAGAAAGAAAGGAGAGAAAAGAAAGGATTAGAGGAAGGATTTGGGCATGCGGAATATTTTTCTGGACTCGCAAAAATATGCTCGTTCTGAGAAAATAGAAAAGGCCATGATAGAAAGATTTAAATTCAAACTCATTTGATTTAAATTCAAATGATTTGAATAGGAAGT